CAATAGCTTTTCTGTTTTAATTTTTTTACAACAAATCAATGAAAATCAAATAATGTGGCGTAATGTCATTACGTTGATAGATTATAAATACTATTGTCTAATAGAACTAATACGTAATGCTATATTTTTTTATACAATTTTACGGAATTAAAAATGATATATTACAATATACTATTTGTATTAACTTCATAAGAGTATGAGTGTTATACATTTTACTTTAATAACATCTAGTTGTAAAAACTTAGAACAAGCCAAACAAATGGGTACTGGCACCAGGAAAGTACAGAAATCGAACTTGTCCGAAGTTTTATCATGTCCCGTGTCTTTTTATTCAAGTTGACAACAAAATGTAAAATATAAGCCTACACCTGAGACTGTTACAGATTTCAACCCCTTGTATCCGTCAAAAGCGTTCGAGCAAACACAACACGGTATACAATTGGAGGGGAAACGACTTTTTGTTTTATCTTTTTCGAGCATTTAACGTTAACATATCATAACCTTCTTATGTATTGATTAAAAGAAATCTTAGTTTCAATAACTCTTTATTCCTTGTTTGTATAATCAATTGAATATGATAAAGTGGACTTTGAGAGCATACTGTTTTTTTTATTTTTTGAACGGAGATGAATTGCTTCAAATTCACGTATTAAAATTGTAAAAGTTTATGAATCCAAAGCCATCTAGTCACTATAGCTTTTTCTTGTTTTTATGATTATGGTTTATAGATTTTAAATCATAAGAAAATAAACAATGCTGATAATATATTTTGAAATTTCTATATTTCCCATAGACATCATATATATTTTAAAAGTTACCCATAAATAGTAAATATTTTGACCAGACTTCAACTAATAAGATCAAAGTCATTGTTTTATTACTAAGCGTTATAACTACTAGACTGTTTAAGTTGCTACCCAAAAACCTCGATTCATTTTCTATCGACCCAATCATTGTTTTAGAACTTCAGGCACTATAGTTATATTTTAACAGCCCTCTCTTAGGAATACAATACACGCCACTCGGGAAAATGCCATATAATATTCGAATCTCAAGACGTCCACTTGGTTGTCAAAAGTACTCATAAAAATATTCGTAAAAATCTGCCGACCCTCTCTAAAAGCCAAGTTGAACTTTCAAAAAGTAGTATTCTTTAGTGTAGTTAAAATACATCTCTTATTTCAATAAATAAGAAATTCATGAATGAACAATGGTTTTTTTAAAAAAATAATAAAATTCATATTTTATAATATAAAATATATATAATAATTTTCATATTTATAATTCAATAAATTTCATAAATTGTCCTTAACAATGTAAAAATACTTCTTATCATAAAAATATTTAATTTTATTAGCATTTTATAGTAAAATATGTAAACCCCAATCTATTTAACATGTAAAAATATGTTGGTTTTAGTTATTTATATGTTTTATTTATTTACTTAATAATAATATATATTTATAAATTATGTTTAATTTATATTAAGATTTTTAAATAGATGTACAAGATCCGTAGATATTTGATAAAACATAGATACTAGAAAAATCTTTTGACATTAATACAGAATTATAATAAATTCATTTGCCCTTGATATTTTTTTTCAAAAGTAAATTTTTTTAAATGAAGTAAGATGTGATGTTTGTGATATTAAAATTGTAATAATATAATCATTTTTAAGTTTCAACAGTAACAATAAAATTATTTTTCTATAAAATAAAACAATGGAAAACTATATACAAATATTAATTTCATAATACTCTTTTATACCCATCTTATTAAAAACATTACCGGATGTGTTGACGTAATTAACTTAATTCATATTGATTGAATTAATAACTATCGTTTTGGGTTACTGCTGTTACCACTAACGAGCATTACGGCTGCATTTATGCATTTGCTTTCTAAACAAATTAATATCATTAATATCCTTTGGTAGAGATACCGCTTGCTCTTTAAATCTATTATAAACTGTTGTGCATCCTCTTCGGCTTTTTGGTGTTTACTATTCAATTCGAAAGTTTCTTTAATGACGTAATTACCATCTAGTGCATAACTTTGTTTGGAAATTTCCAAGTTTTCATTTAAACTCCATAGTACTAAATTATTACGAATGGAAAATAATTTATTCAAATTTATATTCACTAATAACCCGATGAAAGTCATTAGACGATTTCCAGTTAAATCAACAAACTTAAAGTTAAATATCAATACTATCCAAATCAATTCAACTAAAATAAATACAGTTATAAATTAATTTATAGTAAAATAATTATTTTATGTAGTGAATAGCTATTAATACATAATTTTATAATAATTATTCGAAAACTCGTCCTAAAAAATTGATGTTTATACAAATTTCTGCCATCATTACTATAAAAGTTTTGATTTCGACTTATTTAAAGTATGTTTTACTGTACTTAGCGGATACAGTATACCTTTTAATTATTTTTTCTTTCTTATTTATTAACTTCCATTATATACATGCACTTACGTATTAATTAATTTCTGTTATTATTACATTTTAATTGCAAAGTCGTTTATTATTCTATTAGAATAACATAAATATTAATTATTTTGATAGAAAACAATGTATAGAATCTATCTACGACAGTAAGATTTATTAATTCAGTTACTACGATGATGATGTTTTAATGGAATCCAAAACATGTATACGAGATATATTATTAACCTGGTGCAACTCGTTTATTAGTGTGAACAACGTCTTGTCGCATATTAGAATAATTAAAACAGTGATATTACACGCATTATGAATCTTGTTCCGGTTGTACGCACACTTTGTATACCTTTACAAGAATTTCTTTACGGTGAATAGTGTAAAGGGTTGTTTGGGTTGTACTCTGTGTCAGAACATTCCAGTAGCGAACTTGAAGGTATTTTAAACATAGGAAGTTAATTTCCTGTATTATATTTACACTCGTAGCGTCTTGGAGTCGACGTCTTATCTTTTAGGTTAAATCTTATCTTTAAACAAGAAAATTCAACTTCATATATATTCGAATAAGTTATTTGATAAGCAAAGCTCATATATATTTTTATAGTGTTTATAATAAATCGAATTTATCAATCGATGATATTGACTTGAGGGGAATTATAATGACATTCAGAGGAATATTGTATATTTTTAATGAAACTCTTTTTTAATTAATTAAAAAAGTATATTTTGATTTTATTGAATGTTTATTATCTATTAATTACAATATGGTAATATAGCATTTTTTAAATATTATACGATACTTAAGTGTTATTAAATTACTTAATGAAGTCTATATTGAATAACAAAAGTCAAAAAAAATAATATTTTGTATTAAAATTTTGAAAATTAATAATGCATTTCATTTTCGTGTTTTGTATTTTTTCTACTAAATACAAAATTAAAGTAAAATATTTAAACAAATATTGCTTTTTGTCATTGTTTTGCATGATTAATTCATTGATAATAATTTGTCTCTTTTAATATTTTAATAAAAATATCAGTATTTTTTTTAAGTTGCGTTGCATTTCAAAAAAAAAAATAATAGTTCCAAACAAAAAGTTACGAAAGTTGAAAGATTTATTTTGTACTTAATAATAGGATGAATAATAAGTCGCCATTACTAAATTTTGGGTTGATATTCATACTTTTCAACCCCTTTTATGAATACACATTTTATAAATATAAAGAAACATTGTGATTCTTCATCATTAATTAACATTTAGAACATCAGTTGTGTACGCTTATAGCTAATTGATTACAAAATAGATGTTTTAGAGTAATTAAATTGATTAAAATTAGTACTTTATTCTTGTCGACAAACTTTATTTATAAAACGATATATTCAAAAATATGTATAACATTACACATACATTGAGTTTTTAAAAATCAAAATTGAAGTATTTCACCTGTTAGTAGTTTGATTAGAGATAGAGAGTTGAATGTACCGTAGTGTGCATCTTTTATAATGTTTAATTATAAAGTTCAATATATATAGAAACTGTTAAATATACAAAAAATAATGATTTTACAATATTCTTATTTGACGATATAAATTAATTTAAATTAAATTTTATTTTTTTAAATTATATTATAATTTGAATATAGCTTATTAAATATCTTTTTTATTATTTAAACTATTAAAGTGCATGAGAAAGAAGGGTAAAGGATTTGAGAAGTATGACTCATGAGATTTAATGAGCCGTTTTCATACTTCCCTCTGTTAGTTGAATTATTAAATTAACCGATAACACAATTCATTACATAACTTTTGCATATTATTAGTTTTTCAATTTTTGATTTAAACAGTTCTTCTGCATCAGTACGTCCCAAAAGACGAGAAAAATTATTAAATTATTTTTTTTATATGTGGTATCACATAATTTATTGTTCTTTGGCTGTATTGTAATTTTATCGTTTTATATTGAATTACTTTTTATTTTACTATTTAATAATGTGCCTCCCTTCTTGTTTTTTCATTTTACACACTTAAAGTTATATTATACTTGCAGAATCCGGAATTTTTTCTACTTATTGTAAAAAATAATAACAGTTACCATGCCTATTGTATGACATGAGATATGGAACAATTCAGAAGCCGTATAATTTTAATAAAATATTATTTTTCTTTAATGCACTAAATGCTATGGAAATGTACATTAAACAATAAACTATTAAAATATACGTACACGTGTTTAAAGATGATACACATCCAGAAGATTCTATTTTATTATCGTTATCTTCTTAAAATTTTTCTCGTATGCCGGGCGCACTTTTTAAGATTTTCAATTTCTTCTTCAGTGATTTAACCAACATTGTAAGCAATATTCAAGACGATATTTGTATTCTATATGTTAAGTATATGATACTTATGGTTTTTTGTATCACTACTTTCGTTAAGGAAAAAAAGTAATAAACGTCTGATTATGAAGTCTGTTATTCTATTTATACTGCGAAAACATTTTTATCGATTTTAATAACAAAAATTGTTTTTATTGTTTTTTAGAATGGAAGAAACTGTGCGAACTTTGTTACAATATAAATCCAAATTTGAACAACTGAAACAGGACCGACACTCAGCAGCAAATTCCTATGAAGTAAGTAGTCAATTAAATCTTTAAAAAATACTATTACCTAATTTACTGATAAGTTAAAACCATTGAATATTGTAAAAATAATATTGACTAAATAATGAAGATACACAAGGGGGCGGTATATTTAATTATTAATGAGGTTTCCTTCAATATTGTCGGGATTGAATTTTATAAACCATAGTATTGCTCTCGTTAAATTTTAATCGATCGCTTCAAGCTATTTTACCCGCCCACATAAACAAATAACCGACACATGCCCAAATAGTGTATCACAAAGACATCCTAGAGCTATGGCAAAAATTAGGGTGCTATGCGTTAGTCCGTGTCTCTACTACCCTTAGTAAACGTGACCCTTTCCATACTCAAATTCGATTCCACGTTTAGCACCAAGGGTTTATTGTTTTCGCTCTTCTCTACAGCCCCAACCGGTCTCAGTCATTTTCCGTCTCCGTTGTCAAGCTTGTCAAAAAAATAAAAAGGGATTTAGCAAGTATAAATTTTAGTGGTTTACAGACAACACACAAAAAATGACGTCATTCCCCCCGCAGTTGTATGATTGTGTTGTAGTAATCGCATCGTTGCAACGCGTTGGGAAAAACCAAATACATATCGGTAGTATAAACAGACATAAAAAAACAAAATTAATTGCAAGGACCCTTAGACGGTGTATGTCTGTCGGTGATATACAGTTCTTATTAGACCAAAGAAACCCTTCGTCAGTCACTTAAGAAACCCCATAGCATTTTTATACAAAAACTGTGATAAATGATAATTTTGTGGTATAATCAACTTTCCACTTTTTATAATAAAAATTGATCACTTGTGGCTAGTTAATTAAGTAAAATTAAAACTATATTAAAAATATTATTAATTTAAAAAAACTAAAAAATATTAAAAATATTAAACTCAAAAGCCACAAAAAAATTAATGAAAAGTCGCGGATACGTATTTCGGAAACAATGTTACCATTATCAACGCTAAACACATACTTATGTGTTATGTGTATGTGTTTAGCGTTGNGTTTAGCGTTGATAATGGTAACATTGTTTCCGAAATACGTATCCGCGACTTTTCATTAATTTTTTTGTGGCTTTTGAGTTTAATATTTTTAATATTTTTTAGTTTTTTTAAATTAATAATATTTTTAATATAGTTTTAATTTTACTTAATTTCCACTTTTTACTTTTTCAATGCACCTTGCATGATAATATTTCGATAGAAAATTTATTCCAACAGTATATTTAACAATAATGCTGCAGTCATCTATCTCAGTGGCTTAGGTCAAGAATATAAAGTTTTGATTTTAGTACATTCATTGAATTATTTTACTTCTATGGGTAGTTCCGTTTTGTAATAACATAAGTATACATTTTAAATGTTTTATATATGCCGTCACCCTTCTTCATCAATGACTGTGGTTTACTGATAAGCTTGTTTTTATTAACCTATGGGTGCATTAAAATCATATATCTTGTTATTCGTTAAGCTATAATTGAATAAAGGTTTATTGAATTCAGTTAAACAATGATATCATTGAAAAGGGTGAATTTAAAATGAATTTTTTACTTGTACAAATGAAGTGATATCTTTGTAAATTATTTTTCTAAATATTCTATTGCTAAAGTATTATTTCATTTAAATATTATTTTACTTTTTTTATTACTTTTCAATTATTAATTACTAAATAAAAATTTAAGACAACTTTATTCAACAACAACTTTTTATTTAAACACATTCCATCATATTTCTTATTATAATATAAAACTATGTTTTTTCACTATTTTTATAAACTTTATAGTGTTTTAAGCTTAAAATAAACAGATTTTTTTATGTGATGACATAAGATAAATTTGTTTTCATGGAGAATGTGATAGTTACAAGGGTTGAAACTTGAGGTCGTTGATGACATTGCAAACTTAGTATGCACTAAAACGTCAAAATGTAAGCTGCTAGAGTGAAATTCCCATGAGTATATGGTCTTCATACGGTTAAAACTTTCCAAAACTTTACCCTTTTAACGATATTAATTTCAAAAGTTAGTCAGTGAGCGGTTTTTTTTCAATATTTCAATGCATAGGATTATATAAAATTACTTAATTTATACTAATATACGTGTTACTCATACTTAATCAAAAAATTGAATTCAATCGATGTGTAAATTTACCTATCAAAAATGATTCTGATTTTTGTATTAACTAGTTTTAAGTATACTTTTAGGAAAATTCGTAAATTATAAATTATTATCATAATAAAAACGTTTTTTTATTTGGTATAGGTGTCAAATAAAACAGTTTTCAAAATTACATTGACATTTTTTATTACTCTTTTTGGATGAAATGATAACTTGAAAAGTATTTTTATAGTAAAAACTATTTAAAAACTTGTTCTTTATCAATACTGCAATTAGTGTAGAGGCAATGATATTTATAATTTATGTCGCTGTTGAATAATATAAAAGCAATTATTATTTTATCGTTTGCTTTCTAAAATTAGTCAGATATAGTAAATTTGTGTTTGTATTCCAAAAGCAATTTTGCCGTTTACAAATTATGCGCGTCCAGTTGTCTACTAACCAGGGTCGCCCTATGTAGAACTATTATATCCCTCGAGACTCGTTTCCGCCACGTGTACAGCTAGTCCCATGTGAGGACAGGTTAGGAGGTAGTCGACAGTAGAACCGCGTCACTTCATTACAGAACCCCAAATCTATCGTGTGACTGTGGCATTTTGACCAGCTATGTGTTACCCTCCTGTTTTACTGCTGAAACCTTAGTTTATTATTGGACACACATAAAATTTCAGTCCCTAAAAATATCATTAGTTTTAATTAATATTTATTTTTTTAATTATTCAAAATATAACAATAACCTCTGCAAAGAGGTTAATTTCCTGATTTTAACCTTAGAGATTTAGATATTTTCTTCTTTTTTTGTAAGTCTTATGTATGATTTTTCCCGATACTGTTAACAGTTATTTGCGACAGTCGACTCAGTAACAGCTAAATAAACATCAGAATATAACTCCTAGTAATTATAATAGTTATATTTAAACATCAAAAGTAATTTATCAATAGGGTGTTTTATGTGCGCGTATAAAAATGTAGCTAATGTAACCATTTATTCTTACCACAGCGTTTTCAGTACTAAGTTTTATATCAAAGTCATTTGGATTATATATATATCTGTACAAATAAACGCATTTTTAACAGATTTGAAGAGTCCTATTGAGTCATTTAAAAACATAAAGGATAAAACAATTTTAATTAATTTTTTTTTTTAAGTAGATTTTCAATTTAATTAGATATAGCTCTTTTTATAATATAGCATATTAAAAAATTAATTAATTAGAATTTTTATTATTTCATCTAAAACTTCATACCAAATTTGATTAAATAATAACTAAAAATATTATTGTATTCAGGTTTAAAACATAATTTATGTTCAACTTAATTATACAAGGATAAGATGGTAGTGTTGATGCCAGTGTAGAACAATCTTGCTAAGAAAAGCCTTATTAACTTTTAAAGTTATTTAAACTTTATTTTGTTTTTGATAATTAAATTATTTTGTAAATATAAAGCAAAGTCATTTCATGTTAAGCTATACTTGAGTTAGAATAACAAAAACATACACATAAATATTATTATAATATAATAAATACACATTATTTGGCTAAAACTTGCTCATTATAATTCAAAGGCAATAGTTTCAATAGTTTTTAAATTCGAAATTGAAGTATCATTTGTTACAACCATAATGGAGACATTTAGGTGTTAACTATAACAATAGTTATAAATGAATATCGAGTTTTGCTTACTGGTGAAGTTTAGAAATCCTCGGCTAATTAACACTCAAAAACTTGCAACGGGTATTGGATTTGGTTATTACTTTCCCCTGCACAAACCTTCAGATCATTAATTACGTGAATCGTTTCTCTTCACCATGTGAATGTAAAAGGAAAAGGACCATTTTTGAATAACATAAATAGGGGTTACTGTTATTTCTCCCTTATGTGTATAATTATCTTTGATGTTATGAATTAAATCAAAAGTTTAAAATCAAATGTATAGATAATAGAAAATTAAAGTTATCTAACTAATTTAAAAGTTATTTTAGATCGTATAATACTGCATTATTGAATGAAATAATGTAACATATAATTATAACAACAATAATATAATTTATTGAGTTTTAAAATATATTTAATAACATTTTAAAGTTGATTTACGGAATAAATCTTAAATTTATTCACTAAATAAATAATATAAATCATACATTTATTTATGTTAAATTAAATTACAAAGGTTCTTTGACTGAATTAAATATATCTAAGTGGAAAGATTACGTTAGTATTAAATCAATTTTAAAAGGGAGTGAACAAACCATTTTCTAATAGATAATGTTTTTGGTCATAGTTTGAATAGCACCAATTAAATAATATTTAACTCAATAAAAACTATTACTTCTTTTATTTATAATATTCTATTTAAATTCGTTTTTGCGTAAATAAATGTAGTAAAAATAATTATTAATTATCTAATAAGGCTGATTAAATAAAATAATTTTTCTCATACTTTTCAGAAATAGTGAAGTAGGTTTTGCAAAAATTATTTAAAATTAATATCTGTAATTAGAGTTTCGCATATGACCTAAATAATAACAAAATCCTTCTAATCAATATAAAAATTATTTATGTTTGGTTATTAGATTACGTAGAAATCAATAAATATATTTTAATTAAAAATAAGTTGACAAAATTCTACTTTCTACACGCATTTTTAAGTTTTGAACCACTCCTATGACAAAATAAAGTCCGAAATTTTTTTTTCCATAATAAAGTATATTATATTAGTTTTAATTTAATATATATATATATATATATATATATATATATATATATATAAAAGTGTGAGTATTTCCAAAACACTTTTAAAATTTAAGTATTTGTGAAAAAATTGTCATTTTGAATTTTCACTTGTGGGCAGGTAAAGGGTCAAATTTATA